CCAGCTGTCAGATGAGATTATTAAAGCACTGGCCATTTATTGTATTAATCTCACATCTCTCAGCATTGCTGGCTGTCCAAAGGTATGTGCAGGAGTCAGCTCAGACATATCAGATTGAGGTACTGCCAAAGAACCCAGGCAGGGTAGCAATTAGCAGTTGGACTCACCAGAGAACTTGTTTTCTTTGCCATGTCTGTGGTATTCATTAGAGTTTTCTTCTTTCCCCAAATTGGAAATAGCTTTATGATTTCATTTGTGTCAAAGTAGAATCTGCAAGAAGTTAAAGACAACTCTTATACAAATATAAAAATGTGTCAAATATTTATTTAATTCAATGAGAGAACCAGCAAAATGGTAAAGTCAGTTCATAGAGCATTTGATCAAACTGGGTATTTACAGGAACTGAAGAAAGAATGTTGGAATATAATTGTTAGGTTAAATCCAAAATTGGTTAATGTCCTACAAGGTAATAAATCCATAACCTTGGAGTTATAGTTTCTACCAGACAGAAATAATTTGCATCTCTCCTGGGCAAAAATATAACAGAGTTTGGGCCCTAATCAGTACTAAACAGTATGTCAAACAAAAGCATAATTCCTTATAGAATTTCTCAGTTGGACCTGTTAAAACAATGTTCCGGTAAGACACTGAAAGGATATGCAATCATCTTTTGTCTTATTTTCAAGTGTTGCATAGTTTTTCTTGACATCTTTCTTTGAAAGGAATATATACTCATTGCAAAATCTTTGGACTACATATAAAAGTGTGAAGGACAAAGTAAAAATTCAAAGTCATACCACCAACCAGGACATAACCACTGCTGCATTTTATACTTATTCTTCTAGAATTCTTTTCTATGTACAGAGATTATAAATAGTTACAGGTTTGTGCTTTGTCTTGTTTTTTAAAGAACAGAATCATACTTTCTATAATACATTGTAACCTACTTTCTTTTCTCTTAATATACTATGCATATATCCCCATGTCAAGAAATAGAGATCTCTGGCTCTGGATTAATATGGCAGATTGAATATACACACATAATTTTGTTCCCTCTTGAAACCCTACCAAAACTGCAGAAGAAGGGTGAGGGGTCACTTTGATAGGGAAAACAGTAGAGGAGACAAGAGCAACGAAATTTTGGAAACTTGAAAGTAGATGGACGAATTTAGCATACCAGAGATAGCTTTGAATCCTAAGACAACATAGAGAAAGCTGGGGAAAAAGTGGATTTACACCATAATCTTTAAACTTGGCAATACTGTGTACCTCTGGAACTAGCTTAAGAGGGTGGCTAGAATAAGGAAGACTGGGTTAAAAGTTCTTGAGAAGTAGACAGATCTCTAGATCTCCTCCTCTATTCCATACCTCTGGGCAACTGCCCCTCCCCACTCTCACCAGATTTGAGATGTATTTCCTACAGCCAGATTTCTCAGCCTTGGCGTTACTGATATTTTGGACAAGATCATTCTTTGTAGTGGGGGATTGTTCTGTGTACTGTAGGATGTTTAACAGCATCCTTGCCCTCTATCCACTATATGTCAGTAGCACCTAGCCCCCCACACCTCCAGTCATAACAATAAAAAATGTCTCCAGATATTGCTAAATGTCCTCTGGGAGGGGGGGACTGAAATCTCTCTACTATCTGCTCTCCAGATAATAAAACAGAAGGTTGCTGAGCTGGGAGACTCATGTATAATTGAGAGCTTGGGTACAAAAATGAAAATGGGAATTAAGTGACTAAATGCTGAACGCAGAGACATTCAGCACTTTTCCAACACAGCATTCAGAGTATGGGTGCCAGATCTCTGCCTCCAGGCAGCAGATTGGAAGCCTCTTTTCTGGGGACTCTGACTAGCCCAAGATGAAAGATTGAAAAATACTGACATATGTGGATTTTCCAACAAATAAGCCATCTAAACCATTGAAGTTTAATGTAGAGAAGGCCCATATCATGCACTCAGACCTTCCAATCAGCTTTTAGCTCTCCACTATTAATCATGAGCAGACATCAAGGACATAAGAGACTAGACTTAAGAGAAAAGCCTCTAAAGTGGAAGATAAAGACCAAACCAAATTAACAGGAAAAACTTAGAGGAAGTAAAATACTCAGAGGGAAGAAAACTAAAAAAAATCCTCAGAAATTGCAAGGTTATTAACAACCTTGTCCTCTTCTATTGTGCACACTGATGGGCTTCTGTTTACCAAAGCATCACCTGACATTTCAAGATGCCTTCATTCTAGCTAGTCTAAAAATTCAGCTTCTCAGTTGTTTAGTCTGGGTGGTGAGTAGATTAAGAAAGTGATGCTAGGAACTCCTGATTCCTCCATCATTAACTGCCACAATAAGGAAAAGGAGGCAGTGGTGGGAAAGACATGGTGAATCATGACATTAATCTGAAAAATTCACAGTAAAGCTCCTTTGTTCAATAGTGTACTTGTTTAGAACTAGGGAAACCCGATGCCTTTCCGGTCAACATCATCTGGTTCTAGAAGTGAGCTGGATCAAGGAACTCAGGACACTAGCAGCACTGACCATGAACCCTCTGCAGCTTGAGCAGTCATGGCTCGCAGGGTCCTTGCTTCCACTGCACACGGACACATGGGTAACACATGGCTCACTGGGAACTGCCTTGGCTGTAAAGCAGGCACAGATGTCGACTGGGCTTTTAAGAGGCTCCACTAATAAGGGAGGAAAGTAGGAGAATGAGAAAAGGAAAGACTCCAATGAGAACAGGAATTGAGGCAGAGAATTTTTTGTTGTTGTTTCGTTTCACTTTGGTTTGTTTTTTGGTAAGGAAAAACTGAGAGTTCCTTCTATAAATCGTGCGGTGGATATTGTCTTGCAGCCTAGAAACTAAGGAGGATATCACACAAGTAAGATATTATAAAATGAATCACTCTACACTGAAGATCTACGCTGAGAAAAAGGAAGGGGAGTAGTTATTTCAGAACCTCAATGTAAGGGAGGATTTAGCTTTACCATCTATGCAGGTGAAATGAGTATCCTGATTCAGAAGATGTAGTGACCTTAAGTTGGGCCAATGTGAACACTCCTCACAGCCTCAGAAATCATAAGGCTGTGGTCCTGTCTAATATATTTCAGTTCCATTGCTTCTGATGAGCCATGAAACACATTAGTGTCTGGCTCATCATTCTAGGCTAGGTTTCCCAAAAGCCCATGGGTCAATCTTGAATGGCCATCTTGTCCACCTCCTGGAAGGTCCCTTCAACCAGCTCGCCGCCAAGGTCAGTGAGTAGTACTGTGACCTCATCCCACCCAGCACTAAAATGAGAATAACATAATCTCTGCTCAGTAGGACTGAGATCAAGACCATGTATCTGGGAGTTAAGAGCATGGCCAGTCATCTCCACCTCCAGTTTCCAGCTCCCATAAGTCCCCAAAACATCACCTCAGTCACTGAACATTTGGGATTCTGATCTACAGGAAATGTTGGGCTCCTTTTCAGTTCCCCCGGTATCAATAAAACCTAGCACTCTGAGCTCTACCTATCCAGGATTTTTCCATCATCTCATTGTCTTTCCTTTTCTCTACAATTCTGAGGGTTATCCCCCACCCCCGGTGACATTAGATCTTCAGAGACCCACAAAGAATAGCAAAAATGTCTGAAGCATTTTTGTGAGAATCAGATGCAATGTTAAACCTTGATTCTTAGCAAGTTCTGGAAACAGGGCATGCTTAGACAATGACATCTATTTTTCCAAACATAAAAAGTATACATTTCAAACTGAAGGGTTTTTCGGCATAATTCTCTCAATTTTATGTTAAAAACAAGAGCTTAGCCTCATGGCATGTTTTTTAGAATGTTCAAACATTTAAAATAAGAAATTAAATCCAGTTGGAAAAAAATTCCTTTGGGGAGAGTAATCTAGTTGATTTTGCAGCAAGTCCCAGTTCAGCTATAAATTCAAAAGCTAAACCTTGAGTAAGTGAAGTAATCCAAGAAGTGGAGTTGAATTACCTCTGCAGAACATCTGGGCAAACTCTCAAGATACTGGAACCCTGAGCAGAAATTCTCAGAGTGAGATTCATGCAGTCTCTGTGGCTTCTACTCTTCTCTCCCCTGCTGCCTACAAACATCTGTCTTACCTACCTGTCCCTTTCCAGAACCAATTACTCCATACACAAATCATCAGAGATGTCCAGATCCCTTCTCACAGCAATCTGATCCTGTCTGCAGGTTAACTTCAGTGTATATATATATTTTATAGTTTTGTAACATGTGATGTCATTAAACTTATGTTTCTCAAATTGATGATGCCTTACAGTGGATTTCAAGTTTAAAGTTAAATCCCATTACTGCAGCATTTCATAAACTGCTCATATTGGTGTGACAGGTATTACCAGGGAAATTTTGATGAAGTTTCCAATCCCAAACAGACAACTCTAAAATGAAAATAACAGCAAGATCACAAATTCTATTAGTGCCACTTGAAACAGACATCTTACTGTTCTGGAAACAGACTTAAATCACTAACTTGAGTTATATAGGCTCATCACGTGACAAGCTAGTTAAAGAGAATCCACAATGGTTCTGATTCTATTTGTTATGGACGGAGTATTTATGTCCTTCCAAAATTCGTATGTTGAAACCCTCATCCCTGATGTGATAGTATTAGGAGGTGAGGCTTTGGGGGGCTAATTAGGTTTAGAGCGAGGTCACAAGGGTAGAGCCCCCATGATGGAATTAGTGTCCTTAAAGAATAGGAAGAAACTAGAGCTCACTCTCTGCCATGTGAGGCTACAGCAAGAAGGTAGCCATCTGCAAACCAGGAAGAGGGCCCTCACCAGACACTGAACCTGTGGGTAACTTGATCTTGGACTCCTCAGCCTCTAGAACTGTGAGAAATAAATGTATGCTATTTAAACCATCTAGTCTGTGGTATTTTGTTATAGCAGCCCAAACTGACCAATACACTATTCTTCCCTGGGATGGAGTTTGTTGGAATACTCAGAGTTACTTTGGCTGTGTGTTTAGGTTACTGACTCAGCATTGGAGATGTTATCGGCAAAATGCCATTACCTGTACGTTTTGGATGTTTCCGGTTGTATCCTGCTTACTGACCAAATGCCTGTGAACCTTCAGATGGGCTGCAAACAACTCCGGATCCTAAAGATGCTATACTGCAGACATATTTCCAAGTAAGTATGTACCTGAATATGAAAAACTTTGAGAACTACTTTCTGAGAAAATAGAATATGTCACCACAGCATTCATAATACGTAGTGGTTTTCAGAGTTAGGAAGGTTTCATTTTATTTTTTACCTAATTGAAGCCAATATTTTGGGCTGAACCAAGGGAAGCTCCCTCTAAAATAGTCTTTGTGGCTTCACATTCCTTTCCCAGTAGCCCTTCTACTCTTAGTACTTCCCCTTCTTTGACCATGCAGATGCTCAAAGCCTTAACTCTGCTCCTCATAGAATAATCACTAGCTCTTCCTCTACTCCTCTCTCAAAATATTTCCATTCAGTTAATCTCCTCTAGGGGTTAAGAAACTAATCAGACTAAACTAGCTCACAATTATGGACAAATTATTAACAGTTATCCTAAGAGCCCCATCCCTCCCAAAGCTATTTGTTTGACAGTTGTTATTTAACTAAGATCTAGAGCTCAGAGTAAGGTATTCTGATGACTGCTACAGGCCAAATGCCTATTTACTCAATTTACAAAATGTTTCCAATGAAATAACAGTTGGGTAAATAAGCAATCTATAAAGGTAGAAGGTATTAGGTGTCCACCCTGTGAGTTTTTAGATAGAAAGCAGTTATTTGCTCCATTGTTCATTTTTTTTTCCTATTGACTGAAAGTAAAAATGTGCAAGTATTTTAACTGACCTCTTGAAGTAACCTGTGAAGTGTTCAAATGAGAATTCTTGACCAATCCCTGAAGGTCAGGTTCTTTTCTGAAGGTTGGAAAAATGAATACTAAGAATTAATATTATCAAAGTACAAAGTACATAATGTGTTCTAAGCATGTAGATTTCACAGAAGAACTTTCTTAATTAAGCAGCCCTGGCATGAGCTGAACCATGAGATCTGGTCACTTGATGCCTGAGGAAGAAAATGATTTCTGATCTAAGGATGTGTATGCTAAAATGAAATGAAAAACAAAACAAAAACAAAACTATTACTTGTAAAATAGGCACTCCCACTGGGCCCAGGCTTGCCAGGGAGGAGGGCAGCCAACTGAAGGTGGATCAGAAAAAAGGGAGCAGGTTCTTAAAAATTTTTGGAGAGGAGTAGAGACACAGCCCTTCTTGATAGGTCTGGAGACGACTGACATGGATATTATTAACTTCATTTAAAGTGTATACCATGAAATGAGGTCCTACGAGTCCCTGCTGACCCTGTCATATCGTTAAACAGCCAACTTTGGGCAAGATGACAGTAAATGAATTAATATATTACACAAAGGAGTTTAGCTTCTAATCTTTTGACTTTATTTTGCCGATCATTATTTTGGGGAGGTAATATTATTGAACTTCTAAAACGTAGCATTTTAAGTAGAATGAATGAAGACTTTCTAGCCAGGGCCTCTCTGATCCTAAACATGGTGAACGTAATCATGGTATGGGATGTTAAAGTGTAATAAATATGGTGCTTGGTCAAGAAGACCCAAGATATCTAGTAATTTCCAATTCCTGCCTTTGACTACCCACTCCTCTTGCAAGGTCCTTAGATAAAAATACGCAAAGAAAATAAAACAAGTAGGATTTTACTACTAGGGTTTGGCCCCCAAAACCCAATGCAAAACTCTAGTTAGCTAACTGAATCTATGGAAAATTCCTTTACCTAATCCAGGACAGCCAAAAGGCCTATTTTGTTTTCTACCACCAAGCCTGCCTGTCCCTATGAGCAAGAAGCAGACAGAGACTTGGCCCTAATACCTAGAAGGGAGCTGGCTTGTCTGCCCATCTCATTGTCTAAAGAGGCCAAACCAAGGTACTCTCCCTTATAGCTCCACTCCTGCTAAGATCCAGCAAGAAAGAGGCCTAGAATTCTCTGATTCTATCCTTGTCTAGCAATGGAGAAGGGCTATCCCCGCAGCAGGGTGGCTAGACTAGTTAGGCTCCAGGAGCATCTGTTCTTGACATCCTGCTTCTAGGAGAGGATGCTGTTTGTCAGTCAAGCCCAAGATACTTGGGCTTCAAAACTGATTAGAGAAGTGGTAAGGCCTGGCCACATTCTGCTGTTTGGGGTCAGCTCTAGAGACTGTAGAGCATCTTCTTCTCCACTTAGATCCATGGGACTCTTGGGTGGAACTGGAAGTGCTGCAGAGAATGTGGACCCTTCAAGACACAAGCTCATGATGACATCTAATCCCCTACCTATGTTCACTCTAAAAAAGCACAGTTGTTTGCTCTTGCTCCCTAAACAGCAAGAGTTTTGTTTTGTCTGGGTGAAATGGAACATTTGGTAGTTAGGATATAGGAGATTTTTCTTGGGAAGAGGTTCAATGACTTTGAATCACAAAGCAATGTATTCCCACACATCTGATTCCATTTGGACATAAAAGTATACAATGCAGCCCTTAAAATCCAATTATAGCCCTCAGAAGAAACTGTTTTATATACAAATTCCCCCATACTCAATGGAATCTGAAAACACTGCACCAGCTTTACAAATCAAAGAGGTCTGTTCAGCCCACCCTACCTGAACTAGGGGAGCAGCAAACTTTTGGTCAATGAGCAAATTGGCTGAAGCACTTCCAGCATGAGATATGCTGTTATTCTACAACCCCAGAGCCTGAAGGGATCCCAGAAAGTGATTCCAGAAGTCCCATGTGGAGACATAATAAAGGCTCCTTTAATTCAAGGAGAAATAAGTAATAACTGAGATTATAAATTTGACGGGAAAATCTAGCTGTCTACATTTGAAGCAGTTGTATTCAACTAACCTTTCAATTTATGGACCTCTGTGGGGAAAGCAAGACAGGCAATGGAGATGAAGAAAAGCATAGTGGAAAAGAGGGAGAAAGACCCAAACAATAGTCTCCACAACCCAGGAGGGTCTGAATCACAAAGAGGCAGAAGAGCCATTAAGTCTATAATTAGCAAAGAGCAAAGGGACCTTTCTGATATTTTTGTGTCTGGAGTCGAAAACTTTAAACTTTAGAGAAATGAGTAGAGAAAGTCTAGGTGGTCTTCAGAGCCCCAAACAGCAGTACAGAGATTCCTTGAGGACCTTATTTAGCAGTTCCTGGCAGCATAAATTACTACCTAGGTACTCTAAGATCTGTGTTGTTAGGAAATAAATCTCAGAGTTCTCCTCTCTAGCTCACGGAAAGGTCTTTGTGGTAAGGCCCTTGTAATTTGGACCTACTGAATTTTATTATTAATATGAACAAATAATATTACTTAACAATTATCACTTGCCATGTATGTGCTAAATCTTATTTTATGTTTATTATCTAATCCTCACAAATACCCTATTACCATAAAAATGAGTAAGGAAACTGGTATAACCAGCTTAAATAACATACCCAAAGTCATACAAATAAAAGACAGAGCCATACTTTGTACCTACATCTTATCACTATTATGCTGCTCTTTTATCTTTAGATTAGTGATTTTCAAGTTTTTTAAAGCTCTAACATTCAAGAGATTTGATCAATAAGGGGAGACAAGTACTGTTTGCCCAATTTACTTGCTGATGCATAAATAAGAGGCTGATTACAAGTAGTCTTTGATGTAGGCTCCAAATTCCCCTTTCTTTTAGCTTACTCAAGAAACTAGAAGGAAATGTGAGGGCAAGTGATGTTATTACAGGGATAACCTTGAATCCCCTTTAATTTATAAAAAACAAAAATCACTTACAAACTTCAAAATATCATTATTATTAACCAGCTGATACTTTACAACTGTGTGGCATATCGTGTTTGAAAATCATTGTTCTATACTGATCCAAAGAAACCTCTCTCGCCAGGTTAAATGTGTAATGACTAACCATTGCAGTAGACGGCTTCAATTCCCAAATCATTTCCTACAAGTTCTTGGAGTCACTCAGGCCTAAGTACCTGAGCAGAAGGTACTCAAAGGATCCCACATGCACTTGAAGAAACTTAGAACACACAGTGAGTCCTAAGTAGACATTTTCTTTTCAATATTTCCCAGCTCCCATCTATACTAGAGCATTAAGCTATTAGAGAGAGGGAGTTTGAGACAAACAGACAGACATGTTTCTGGCAGGAGCATTCAGTTTCTACATTTTCAAGTTTCCTGATACTTTTCAAAAATGCTTGTGTTTACATTATGCAAAAATAATATCCTACTTAGAGGACATAGAAAGATTATACAAGAAGTTTAAAACATAGGATCACACTTTTTTTTCTTTTGCGGTACGCGGGCCTCTCACTGTTGTGGCCTCTCCCGTCGCGGAGCACAGGCTCCGGACGCGCAGGCTCAGCGGCCATGGCTCACGGGCCTAGCCGCTCCACGGCATGTGGGATCTTCCCGGACCGGGGCACGAACCCGTGTCCCCTGCATCGGCAGGCGGACTCTCAACCACTGTACCACCAGGGAAGCCCAGGATCAAACTTTTAAAAAAAGATTAAAAAATTAACAGAATATAAAATTTTATATATTTGACTATAAACTTATCATTTTCAAATTTCAGAATAAGTATTTCTCGAAAGAGAAGACACCTGTTTGCCAAGTTTTAATCCACAAGGATTGGTGGCTCAGAACTAGAAATTAGTATAACAATTGTTTTTATTCAAATTGTTTTTTAAACGTCTTTAAAGTTTTGCAAGTGCAAATGTATTAGCCAAACAGCAATGTGGTAAGAGACAGAATTGGCAATGCTTTGGTTGTCTCCCTGCTGAGTTTGCTTACAGTTATTTTAAAACACCTAAGATTTGATTCAAGTGAAACAGTATTTCAAACAACTGATGTACCTTAGCCTTTTTGATTTCATTACGCTACTAGAACTCATATAGCCATTGAGCACAAACTTAAGCCAAAGTATATGATAATATCAGCCTCCATATCAATGACTGTTTCCAAACTGCTGCAATTAATAACTCATTGTAATATACAGCAAAAACAGGCAAAGTAGCCCGTATGTGGGCAAACATTACTCATTTCTGATCCTAGGGAAGCTGCCAATTACTCATTTCCTGTTTGGTACTGGTCTGAAGATTCAAAACAACTTTCTAGGAAAATCATTCTGTCTTGGAAATGACATTATTTTCAAGTTAGATATACTTTTTTTTTCTGATGCTGCAATATTGTGCTTTACAAGACATATACATTTGGTCATTCAGATGATCAAAATATATTTCTCATATATATTTGGAGAGTGGTATGCCTGGAGAGAGCACAGAAGCTCAGCATCCTTTCCCTATACCTTGCCCTATGCATCTCTGATACCTGGTTGTTCTTGAGTAATATCCTTTAATGAACCAGTGACCCAGCAAGTAAAATGTTTGTGTCCTGTGAGCAGCTCTAGCTGGTAGATCAGAAGCCCAGGTAACAACCTGGTATCTGAAGTGAAGGGTGATCTGTGGAACTGAGCCCTTAATTTGTGGAATCTAACACGATTTCCAGGTAGATAGCATCAGAATTGAGTTGAATTATAGGACATCCAGCTGGTGTCTGAGAATTGCTTGGTGGTGTCGGGAATGCCCTCCTCCCACCATGTTGGAATTGGGGTCCTGAACAACTTTTAGATGACTTCTTTGCTTCCTTCCTCCTAAGAGAGACCGTAACAATATTTTTAGTCATTTTGACCATGGAACACCTTTTGAGACTTCGATGAAAGTCACAAACCCTCCCCTCAAAAAAATACATAGTAGATAAAAAACTGCATGAATTTTCAGGGAGTTCGTGGGCTTCCCTGAAGTTCATCCATGTATCCAACAGGGATCTGTGGACTCTAGGTTAAGAGCTCCTGCTCTGTTGCATGGCCAGCCTTCACAGGTTGGTTGGTTAGGATACTCCCTCATCAAAGAAACTGGAGATATCAGACAGAGTGCTCATTTAAGAGTGCTATAGAGTGCCCTCAGTGTTCCTACGCCATGGCCATGCAGTCTCCTTACCCATTTACTGTATCTGTTAATCTCTGAACTGGATGAACCAGAGAACTATTGAGCTACTTAAGCTTTGGGATCCTGATTATTAGCACAATTTACCCACATCCTCCCCATCAGGAAGGCAAGAGAGATGTGAAATGAATTCAAGTTGTGACAGTGAGTTCTTTAATTCCAAATGTGATCTAGTTTGAAAATTCTGCACTAGTGATTACTTCTGCAACTAGCTAATGCTCACCACTGTTATTACAGAGAAGCAGCTAAGAGAATGTCATCTATAGTTCAGCAGCAGGAATATAATGCTACTGACCCTCCACTTTGGTTTGGCTATGATTGCGAAGGCAAGCCTCTTCCAGAGCAACAAGATATAACACAACTTAAAGATTCAGAATTGATGGCGGAAGAGTCAACATACAGTAGTGAAGAGGAAGCAGTATGACCTTCAACCTCAAGCAGGAAGAACAAAAAATGTAGAACTTGGCAACTTCATTTCGTCCAAGTATTTTTACTAGCTGGATCTTAACTGTGTAAACAAACAGCAAATCATCTCCAGATTCTTATTCCAGCTACAAATGTTTCTAAATACATCTATAAGTTCTTCTGTCTAATAATCATGATTTTAAAAAGCCAAATCAAGCACTGCTACCATGTAAATTTTCCACTTAAATTTACCTTAATCAAACCAATAGTTTTGATGAGATTATCAAATTTAAGGTTACAGTTGTACGAAACAATCCTGAGAAATGTGATGTTATTGACAAGGAATTTAGAAGCTTCTCTTTAGAAAAGAAAGCAGAAGGCTATATAAATCAGAGTAAGAGTTTGAGTAAGCGCAATGACTTCAAGGATCTATATATATTTTACATATAGTAGTCAGTACATGTTTATCCCAGACTCCTAATTTATCTCTCCCCCTACCACCTTTCCCCTTTGGTAACCGTAAGTTTGCTTTCTATGTCTGTGGGTCTATTTTTGTTTTGTAAATAAGTTCATTTGTATCTTTTCTTTTTTTAGATTCCATGTATAAGAGATGTCATATGATATTTGTCTTTGTCTAGCTTACTTCACTTAATGTGATAATCTCTAGGTTCATCCTTGTTGCTGCAAATGGTATTAACTTCATTATTTTTAAGACTAATATTCCATTTTACACACACACACACACACACACACACACACACACACACACCCCACATCTTCTTTCTCCATTCATCTGTTGATGGACACTTAGGTTGCTTCCATGTCTTGGCTATTGCAAATAGTGCTTCAATGAACATTGGGGTGCAAGTATCTTTTCGAATTATAGTTTTTTCTGGATATATGACCAGGAGTGGGATTGCTGGATCATATGAAAGAAATTGAAGATGACACAAACAGATGGAAAGATATAACGTGTTCTTGAATTGGAAGAATCAATATTTTTTAAAATGACTATACTACCCAAAGCAATCTACAGATTCAGTGCAATCCCTATCAATTTACCAATGGCACTTTCCACAGAACTAGAACAAAAATAAATTTTTAATTTGTATGGAAACACAATAGATCCTGAATAGCCAAAGCAATCTTGAGAAAGAAAAGCAGAGCAGGAGGAATGAGACTCTCTGACTTCAGACTATACTACAAAGCTACAGTAATCAAGAAAGTATGGTACTGGCACAAAAACAGAAATATAGGTCAATGGAAGAGAATAGAAAGCCCAGAAATAAACACACACACCTATGGTCAATTAATCTATGACAAAGGAGACAAGAAGATACAATGGAGAAAAGAGTCTCCTCAATAAGTGGTGCTGGGAAAACTGGACAGCTATATATAAAAGAAAGAGATTATAACATTCTCTAACACCATATACAAAAATAAACTCAAAGTAGATTAAAGACCTAAAATGTAAGACCAAATACTATAAATCTCCTAGAGGAAAACACAGGCAGAACACTCTGACATAAATTGCAGAAATATCTTTTTGGATCCATCTCCTAGAGTAATGGAAATAAAATCAAAAATAAACAAATGGGACCTAATTAAACTTAAAAGCTTTTGCACAGCAAAGGAAACCTTAAACAAAATGAAAAGACAACCTACAGAATGGGAGAAAATATTTGCAAATGATGCAACAGACAAGGGATTAATTTACAACATATACAAACAGCTCATATAGCTCAATATCAAAAAAACCCAAACAACCCAATACAAATATGGGCAGAAGATCTAAATGGACATTTCTCCAAAAAAAGACATACAGATGGCCAACAGGCACATGAAAAAATGCTCAACATCACTAAATATTAGAGAAATGCAAATCAAAATTATAATGAGGTATTACCTCACTCTGATCAGAATGGCTACAGTCATAAATGCTGGGGAGGGAGTGGAGAAAGGGAACCCTCCTATACGGTTGGTGGAAATGTAAATTGGTACAGCCACTATGGAACAGTATGGAGGCTCCTTAAAAAACAGAAAGATCTTTTAATCAAATTTGCACTATGGAAGAATTTTTCAAACTATGGTATATCAAAAAAGCTCCCAATTTTATGCTAGGAGATACGGGTTACTGATTGTGTATCTACAGATTAATTTTTAAAAGCTTTAATCTATGAGTTTTTACCATTCTGGTAAAAGATAACTCCCTTTGGATTTTAACAGAATTCAAATGATCACATGCCAGTGTATCATTATTTGATACTACGTAACACTGATGTTTATAGAGTCCAGGAAAGGAAGAAATCTGTTCTGACTGCCACAATGTTGGTAATATTAGATCAGTCTTTTAACCTTTCTATTTCCTCCATTACTCATCTCTTAAATGGGGTTACTGTCTTTTGTACCCCACAAATGTGAAGTAAGGATAAAACTTAAGGTAAAAGATATGAAAGTTATTTTGAAAAGTTTTTAAAGGTCTTATTTTTTTAAAAGGTATTTTACAAGGTATTATTATAGGGTATTCTGATATCAGCTAAATGCTTTTAGTAATTCTCCCCTTTCTTAAGTTGGTTTTGAAAGTTTTTGAAGTACGTAGTATCATTTAGCTGTAGAATGGTTCCTGGAAGTAGACAGGGGAATCAGCCGAGTAGGAAATTTTAAGACCTAACCCAACAGACATAAGATGACTGTTCCAGAGGGTGATTTTTAACTAAATTTGGAGATTCTGGCAGCTGCATATAAATTGGCTTCTGACCCCTAACTGTCACAAGCACACAACTGGAGAGACCTATACAGGAGGCAACTGCTTTCTAAAGGAAAAACACGTGCATGGGGAAGACCAGGGTTAAGAAGAAACATACCCCGTTATGTTCTCTAGAAACCAGGCAGGGTATTTAACTGTCAAAGTCTGCTCCAAAAACTCTTTGAGTAAGGTCTTCTTTTAAACAAGAAGAGGAGACACATTTGTTAATTATGAGGAGACACATTTTATAGTTACAGAAATGAAAGAAAAAGGGTAGGTGTTAGAAAAAGTGGGCTATGAAAGGGGACCAAGGAGTAGAGAGAACAGGTGGTGAAATCTTTAAGTTCTCAGTGCAAAGTACTCAAGGTATCCAAAATATTACTTAGGTCTTCAGATCTTAAGCATTTGAAATATATAGGTCTGTGTTCAAGAGAGTAAAATATGTCACATTTCCTTTCTGTTTGGACTTGACTATGTTATCCAAAGATGTACCATTCCTTTAATAATTTTAAATACAGTTGACTGCTGTTTATGCTCATGACCTTTCTGGCTGTTGTTGACAAACTTCATAAGCTTCATTTTTAGTCATGAAAGTATTTATATAATTGCATAAGGTGAAAAAGATTATAAAAATTGCCTCATTGCTTCCCAGTTTCCTCTACTTAATAATTTAACACACACACACCACAACCACATCAAACATACTAACATGTAAGTGTTGTCCAAACTCATACAAATTTTGATTTCATGAAGGGTGAACTAAAAAGTGACTCTGAGACACCCCGCAAAGCTGACTTTTTGTTTTATAAATAAGAAGTTAAAGACAGAACTGCAAATAAAATATTAACAAAAAGAGACTATTACAAGTCATATTTGGAAAGGTTTATTAGAAAATCGGAGCTTAAGAACTGATTTATCCTAAGCATAAGAAATACAGTTCAGTAGATAGGCCTATTCAGTGTTGTATAATTTAAATGTTCCAGGAATAAACATGTAAGGTTTGAAAGAAAGAGAATTCATAAAATAACTTTATATAGTACGCCATTGTAAAAGTGAAAATCTGTCTTCATACACCAGGCTATAAAGTAGCTGAATGCCCCCTCCCCGCAATGCATTATGTCTTAAATTACATACAAAAAATAAGAATCAGTAGCAACTGCATCATATTTGTGATGTGTTTTATTCACAGCTTAAAGCTATACTGTTGTCATAGTAAGCACAATACTAAGTAGAAAACATGTTACACAAGAGCTCTGCTACAAAGAATTTCAAAATAGCTGCCCCCTATTACCTATATTTTTGTAAAATGTCTTCTTCTTGAGTATAAGTGGAAACTATGAATATGATGAGATATCACTCCATGACTGTTACATTATATGGCAAAACAAAGATTATCCTGAGTAGGCCTGACCTAATCCTCTGAGCTCTTTAAAAGCAGAGTTATCCCAAGGTGGCTGCAGAAAAAGAGCTCAGATATTCACAGCATGACAAGGACTGATTGCATTAGTGCTGGCCTGAAGAGAAGGCCATATAAAAGAGATGCAGGTGGCCTCTAGAAATTTAGAGTGATTGCCAACTGACAGCCAGCGTGGAAACAGAGATCTCAGTCACACAGTCACAAGGAACTGCATTTTGCCAACAATACAAATGAGCCTGGAAGTAGACTATTCCTCAGATCATCTAGATGAGAGCTCAGCCTGGACAACACCTTAAGTCCAGCCTTGTGGATAACCCGAGCAGAGAATCTAACCATGCTGAGCTCGACCTACAGAACTATGAGCTGATACATAGGTGTCAGTATTAGTTTTTTCAGCTTTACAACTGATTTTATTTTTCAAAAAATTTTAATGAGGTATAGTTGATATACAATATTATATAAGTTTCAGGTGTACAACATAGTGATTGACAATTTTTAAAGGTTATGTTCCATTTATAGTTATTATAAAATATTGGCTATACCTCCTGTGTTGTACTATATATCCTTGTAGCTTATTTTATATATAGTAGTTTGTACCTCGTAATCCCCTACCCCTATCCTGCCCCTCCCCACTTCCCTCTCCCCATTGGTAACCATTGATGTGTGTTCTCTGAGTCTGCTTCTTTTTTGTTATATTCACTAGTTTGTTTTATTTTTTACATTCCACATACAAGTGATATCATACAGTATCTGTCTTTCTCTGACTTATTTCACTTAGCATAATACCCTCCAGGTCCATCCATGTTGCTGCAAATGGCAAAATTTCATTCTTTTTCATGGCTGAGTAGTATTCCTG